GGGTTTGAATCCCTGTGGCAGAGAAGTTATTTGTAAAAGGAAATACAATGAATATGTATGTGTGTATATAACTCTTTGTTATATACATAAAATGAAAGTAAATTGGCAAACAACTCCAAATCAGAAAAATGTCAAACAAATTGGATGTGTTCTTCATTGGAGATACAACACACACCTGGGCACCTCACCCCTCACCTGCATGTGGTTGTTTGGGCAATTCCACTGCATCCCTGCCATATTCATATTTCCAGGGCATTGGAACATACAGGGTAGACAATTTTATATAAATAATATGTGAATAATAAATATACATTCTAAATGTAGGCAATCTCACTTCAGAGGTTAAGAGTGTTATGTACCTGTCAGGTAAAAGTGAACTTCACCCGTGTGTTTAAAGATTTTAAGGTCAGCAGTGCATCAAGTTTACCATGACTGGGTTACACTATTCAGTCTTTAATTGACACTATTAGCTGCTCGGTATCCTAGCTTTAGTGGAGAAAAAATCTTTTTAAGTAGCTTATTTATACATAAGGTGCACTGACGTTTCTCATGACCTCTGACCTATTGGAGACTTTTTGCATACTCACCTGAACCAAGTTTTCTGTAGCAATCTACAAAATTACTGAAGTCAAAGTTTAAAAAAATCGTTATTTGGAAAATTTATACGGAAAAAAAATTCAATATAAATTTTGTGTGAATATAATCGAATGGCGACCGCTTTGAATTCAATATTTACTCCCCCCCTCCCCCGAACGATGAAAAAACGTCAGAGATTTAAAATCTACCTGAACCAGTGTTACCTAGCTAATGAAACTTGTTAGGAATAGCTCGCCAGGTTATAATCTTGTACACCTGTGGTAAGTGATCAGGGACAGTAATATATTGAACCTGTGCTCCTACAGTCAGCCTGGCCCCGTATAGATTTTATAAAGGCGAGTTGTGTAACATCTACCATGTTGACACAAGGTTTCCGTTTCAATGGTGTTTCCCTTTGTGGTTGAGTTTCAAGCAGTTTTTCAATAAACTCAATACCAAACAAGGTATTCCTGTGTATGCTTTTGTACTCTATTCTATCGGCAATGTGACCCTGGGTCATTCATTAAAATGAAGCTTAATACATCAGGTTTCTAGATATCAACACGCCTGCTTTGTAATATTTAATTTTACAAAATTGCTCTGGTAGTGAGCACAATCTTCAAAGACTTCGACATATTTATTCTTGCGTGTATATAGGTCACTTGCATCATCATAAAGTTAGCTAACATGTTCAGAAGAAATTTTATTTAGCAAAGAACATTAAATTGCAAAAAAATAAGTAGCTGATGGGTGCTTGAAAGATTTCTGAGTGAGCCAGAGTTTACCTTTGTCATATAAGCTTAACGAGGCACTAACCAAGGTTTGTTCAGTACTGTATTTGAATATAATTGAATTTCAATGTGAATACATACTATCAACCTGTGTTCTCCTATCTACATCAGTTTTGTGAAAGGTTGATATTCAGTTTTTGAAATAAGATTTATATTGACATATTTTATTGCGGAACAGGTATCATTCACAAAAGCATAAAAGGGGTATAGTTTGGACCCTTTATGATTTCAGGAATGGTGGGTGCTAATTATTACAAATATGGCACTGGTCTTGTATAAAAATTCAAATTTCAACTATATGCAAGGCTAGCAGCAAGGAGAGAAGTTCTTGTTTCCAGAAATTACTTACATCATTAAAATCAAAGGGGATGGGATGGGGAATATAATATAAAATGTAGGCTAATGACAGGTAAATATGGAGATATTTATGCCCCCGTCATAAAATGGGGGGCATAAAGTGTTGCCCATGTCCGTCGCGTCCTATCCATGACTGGGGGCATTTATGTCTTACAGACATTTTCTAGTTTATTTATATATTAATACTAGAAATATACACATATGAATATTGTACATGTAGTCCCTGAAAAAGGGGTCAAAAATGAGTTCCGAGTTTATTCACTTATATTCCATGTTTTCTCTTGAGAGCAAAGGATCGTACCCCAACCACTCTATGTTATAAAATCCTTCCTATAAAGCACAACCAATTCCCTCGCTCTTTTCTTTTTAAAACTAGAGAAAACACTTGAATTTGAATGTAAGTTACATATATAGACCATGGTATTGACAGGTAATAGATTGATCATGATTTACCTTGTACTGAGTGATCATAGAGTGGGTGACGTGAGGTGGGGACGTTGGTGACATGGGGTGGAGACGGCCATTTACATCGTTAAGGTAAAGGGAGAATCACTATCACTTGGTTCCATCCTTTTAAATAACATATTCAAAAAGTCGGCTGATTTTACGGGAGATATTAACTTCTGTTAGGATCTGGTGACCAGAATGGGTCCCTAATTACGCCTCGTAATTACCCTGCGCTTTGTGTGGACGGCCTAGCATATGAAACCAGATACCATTGAATGAGGTGCAAGTAGTGCACTGGTAGATCACCATTAAAAATTAAGGTTTCCTGTGTTTCTAGAATCTCCCCTAATTGGGCTTGTCAGCGATGTTTAAGGTGCATTATAATTAATTTCATTTGTTAACAGGACCCATATCTCGACCCTGTGTATTTGTGTTGGGACCCTGGATGGATTTACAGCATGCATATTGGGTGCACAATATGATATAAATGGGATTATAATTTCCACCGCGACAACTGTTTGTTTAGTTGAGTTTGTCAACTGAAAAGTATAATCACCTCAGAATGAGTGTGCAGAGATAGCAAAGATTATATTAGATAATTAAAATTATCTACAGGGAAATATTTGTTGATCATTATCAGTGGGTAGATAGTATTTTATAAGGTTGTAAATTGATGTTGTGTCGGAATTGTTTTTAATGAATTTATGTAATTTTTATCCTAAATCAATATATATATATATAATTGCTCTAAAGGGACTTAAACAAGGGTCTTTCATTTATATACTGTAATAACATGAATGTGATCAAATGTATAGATATTTGAAAAGTACCTATCACGCTAGGACTGAGAAACAAACAAAAAATGGATTAAAAACTTGTATAAGAATTAAGCCAGTTTCACATTTTATATTATTGATAGATATTTCATTAGCATGATTATCAATGTAGACAATTTCATAATTTAATTGATGAAATTATTGGCACTTATCAAAATATAATCAATAAGATGTTGGAAGGTCAAAATCATTTTAACGATGGATGGTTATGAATGAATCAACGAAACATAGAAAATAATAATAAAGCTCTATAATAATTCTGAGGTCTAAAACTAAATAACATGATACGTCAAATGAATTTTTAAAACAACTTAAATATCACTTAAAAATTGAAATAGAAAAAAAGCTCCTTTAAATCCTCCGGATGACTGAATTTCAGAACTTTCACTAAATCTTCATTCCCTAAATTTTACGTTGGTAGAACTTCAGCATCTTTTGCCTCCATCATACATGTACATGTAGCTATAGATTTCATTTGTCTCTGAGTCTGTGGTTTATTTTTGTGCTTCTGCCAATTTTACGACAGCTCGGAGGTTGGAGTTGTGAATATTTACGAGGGATTACATTTATGATATGATATTGGTATAATTTATGACGAATTACAATTTCAAATTAGATGATGCGTCGTAGATACCTTTGTTGTTGAAACAATTTATTTCTGTCTGTCTCTAACGGTCAATGGTGGTCATGTATTTCACGGTGTCCCCTATTGAGGTTTGAGTGGATATGTTAATAATCTACATGGGATTAGGCATTTTATTACATACCAAATGCATCCTTTTCTCAATAAAAAACTAATTTATGGTGTTGAAAGGTACACCTGCTGTTGTGAATTTTGAAATTTTGCTTATTTTTCAACAGAAATTATAATTTATAATGGAAAAGTGTTGCCATTATGATTTATAAGTTTCTTTTTAAAGTGCTTGGAATTTTCTTGACATTTTATTCTTTTCTTTATGATATTTGTCTCCTCTGTCTTTGTTACACATTCTATATAAAATGTTTATTACTGTAAATCTTATTGGCTTTTCACAATGTATTGTCAAATCAGCCCCGCCCCATTTAGCCCCTGAGTCTGTTGTGAATATTTTGTAGGGCTAGCTATGATAAGAAATAGATATTTTCTCTGGTGTTAATACTAAATATATTTGATAAATGATAAATGATGAGCTTACAATAATAGATTTTAAAACCTCTTTAAATGAATCCGTGTGATGTGTGAACATCATTCTTTTCTTTGATGTAGTTGTTTCCCCTGTTTGAATTTTTGAGTTTTAGCCAGTCTTATATCATTCCATAGGTTTTGAGTTTCGCAGACATGAAGGGTTATAATAGTCTGGTCGTGTATTTTTCATTTTGAATAAAAAAATAACAAATGTCTTTTCAAAAGAATGTTTAGGTCATCAATGTTTTGAATATGCCTTTTGGATACTTTGCTATTCAATATAATGAATGTTGACGCTCACTGACAAATATTCATGTAACAAACCGACCAACATTCTGTAAGTCCGTGGGCTGATCAATAAAAATAATAAAATGGCAATTTTCCTCAGCATTTTTTACCACACAGCATTAGTACGGTCATTGATATAATGATAATTTGATAATAGCTTTCTATTTTGTGATCTTCATTAAAATGTGACTCAATGATAACATCTGTGAACACAAAAAGATTTTAATAATAGCAGTCTGTATATGATGTTTATAACATCATAATAGTTGAGCAGTGAACTGTTAAGTTACAGTGTACTAGCTTTCAGATTATTGCTGTATTGTCCAGTGATAGAGGGAAGGATTACTTACATATAGGTCCTTGTATGATGGTGTCTGTATAGATATCTTACAGATGTATGATTTCATCTCTCTTTTCAAATTCATGTAAAAATACATAAAATACTCATTGATTTGATGTAGTTACACAAATTGTGGAATATTCAAATTTTTGGGTAATAATTTGATAATCTTGTTATAACTGTTTTCTGTTCTTTTGTAGTCGTGCCATACAGAAAAACCAGGACCTACGTCCAGAGACTCCAATACTCAACGTGATCTACGACGACTTTTGGGGGACACCGTTGACGCACAGTGGGTCACACAAGTCATATCGGCCATTATGTGTCCTGTCTTTCCGTCTCAACTATTTTCTGGGCGAACTCAACCCCTGGGGTTATCACCTTGGAAATGTCCTGTTACATGTCGTAGTGACCGCAGTGTTCACACATTTTGCACGGATATTTCTCCGCCATACCGTGCCAACGATTGCGGCAGGACTGTTGTTCGCATGCCACCCGATCCATGTGGAGGCGGTGGCGGGTGTGGTGGGGCGGGCTGATGTGGGAGCCTGTCTATTCTTTCTGCTCGCCATCTTGGCTTATATCAAGTATGTCCACCAGCGGGAAGTGGGGAACGGCGGAGAGAAGTATGTGTGGTTTGGGTTAGTGGCTGTATTAACCACGGCCAGTATGTTGACTAAGGAACAAGGTGTAATGGTGATCGCAGTGTGTGCATCTTACGACTTGTTTATACATCATAAGGTCACGTTGCAGGATATCATCACGTTCAAATGGGTAAGTTATTCATTCTCGTCCATCATATACAGACACACATTCTGTCTCAACTATTCTCCCGCAAAAAAATACAAATCAAAACAACACTCACATTCAGATGGATAAATTCATCAAATACATTATCATACAACTATTTATGTAACCAGACTCGATTCATCAAGCAAAAAATAATCTATACAAACTAAATTCAACTCAAATTAGAATTATCAGAATCTCAATATTGTGAAAAGTTACGGAATATTACATTTCAACTTGAAATTAAATCTCCTTTTAATTTCAATTAAGTAAGGGGGGGGTCGGGGAGTGCAAATTTTTACAAGCAAAGAGAAATGGTTGCCTTTCAAAAAATACATGACTAATGAGATGTATTTCAAAACTGCAGGGTGGGTATTCATTTTGTAATAGAAAGATAGCATATTTTCTTATAGCATATTGAAATTTTGATTTTTTTTATTATTTAAAAAAATCAAAAATCTACATGAAATAAACAGTTAATTTAATCTGAAAACAAGTTGGAGAAAATGTGAATGTACCTGTGTTTGTAAAGTTTCCACAACAAAACTGAATTCTCTGTCATGAAAAAATCTTGAGTTGATGGTAACTGAATGCTTTCGTTTCACTCAACCAAAGATCATAAGGAGGAAAATCATCAGGGAGATTTACAGTTGACAATTTTGGTATTTCAAAAAAGAAATGTGAAACTGAACAAGCAAGAAAAAGGTATATTCCATAGGCTGAGCTTAGGGGCAAATCAATTGCTAACAAGTACACTTAACCAATGTCACTATCAAAGAATTGTAAAAATAAGGTATAAAAATGAAAGATGAATGCCTTGCCAAGGAAATCAATTGAAACCAGATTTTTAGGTCACCTGACCTATTGCTATCCGTTTTCGTCCGTCGTCGTCCGTCGTCCGTTAACATTTTACATTTCAAACTTAAAGTCAAGTTCTGCTGGGCCGCTTGAACTGAAAGTTGGTAGGAATGATCGTCTCATGGTCCTGACAAAGTTAAGTTAACATTATACTATTTTTTACTCAAATTGGTACATATTTCAACAACAAAAATAAATACTATAAACTCAGGTGACCGTTAAGGCCCATGGGCCTCTTGTTTTTTGTCAGTACTCAAATTTGCATTGTCTTCTATAGATACAACTGTGCAAGGGAGAAAACTCAAGTCGTACCTTGCTTTTATAACTTGTGCAGTGGTATTCCGTCTTTTCGTATTGCAGAGTTATCTGCTCTTGTGATCAGGTATATTGTTACGTCATTTGTTTGTGAGAGTATAATGTCATCAGTTTTTGAGAAAACGACGTAATTTTCTCACACAATCCAATGACGTAACAATCAATACCTGCATATGCTCACAAGAGAAGATAACTCTGCAATACGCAGACGGAATATGGTTTTAACCTTAAGGGTTTATCATATATGTAGAACTCTTTTATAAAGGAGATTATTTCACATTCAGATGGAAGGTATTTATCCTAATTTATATATTTTTGTAATATTCAACATAAAAAAATCCAGCAAAAATTTAATTGACACTAAGATTTAAAAAGATACAAATAATCGTTATAATTATAAGGCATATACAGTAACCCCAATTTTGAGAACTGGATTTGTATGGCACAGTGTTTTGAGGCCTTTGATTACAAATAAGATATTTAGGTAGTTTTAATCTTTTGAATTTTCCCTTGACATTGTGACCAGATTAGCAATACAAAATGTTTGTGGTTATTGGGTCTACCTAGTGTTAAAGGGTGCAGTACAGTTTAGGCTCTCGATTATCCAGGTGATTGAGGAGTAGTATGTCAAGTATGTGTGATATCCTCACTTGCACATGGTAAGCGGTAAATAAGGTTCAATTTAGATAGTGTGATGTTTATATTGCCACTAAGGGGCTGATAAAGCTGTGTTATATGGGGCTGTACAAGTCGTCCACCATTCACCCCTTATCTTGACTGACTGCCCTCTTATCCTGACCAAACACCTGTAACACATTGGTGTACAATGATATCGCATGCCATAATATACTCTAAAAACTCTTGTATTGAATAAGTTTTTTGTGTGATCATTCCTAGCTTCTTTGCTACAAAGTAAGATACTATCTGTCCACAGGGGTTTGTTACAAATGTCTGAAATACACATATGTATGTTTATGTGTGCTATGAGTATAGCATATGTGTACATTTCAGACATTTGTAACAAACCCCTGTGATCTGTCCTTGAAAACATGGGTATTCGACTATAGCCATATCCTGGCAGGTTTGTTTGGTTCCAGTTGGCCTCTGGATGTTTTCCTCTGTACATCTTGCTGAATTTATTTGAGTTAATTTGAAAAGGTCTTTTCAGAATTGATATAAGATGCATGTATGTACATCACAAATTGCGTAAAGCTGACAGAATTCTTTAAAGCTGACAGTGCCAACACCAGTAATAGTTTATTGTTAGTTTCGGCACACCCCTACAGTACGTGTACACGACCATCCTCTCCTGTTATGAAGGGCCCTGAACAGGCAAACACTTCACCACAACCCTCCAACATAAGCAAGTATTGTCATAAATTTCTGGAGTGCATCGCATCAAAGTGTAAATTTGGTCATAAATGTAATGTTAGGGCCTTGGCTCTACATAATGTAGTGTTATTATCGACATGCGCTTAAAACTATGAGAATAGACAGGTGGTCTCTTAGGGCAGGTGTTTCTGGGAGTGTGGGGGTCTCTTAGGAAATCTCGGAAAACATAGTCTTTTACTAGCTAGGTGGCCATTATTTCTAAGGAAAAATAGTCTTGTATGTGGTCAATTGGGATGATTTGGTTCAGTTTGGTTTGTTTTTGCTTTACATCCTATTAACATCTAGAGTAATCTAAGGCCAAGTCAAGGTTTGGTGCTGGAGGAAACTGGAGTACCTGGAGAAAAAAACACTGACCTGCGACCAGTACCTGGCAACTGCCCCACATAGGCCTTTATGTCTTTAGTGATTTTAGACGGTCAAACTCCTTCACCACTTGGTCACTGCAGCCCCCTGGTCTTTCAGGAGAGGTGGTTTCTTAAAACAGGCGTTCTCCCAGCAGGTTACTAGATATAAACTGTAGAATCTAAAGGCAAATGGGCCATGACAAGTGATTCTAGGTGATTTCTTAATCTTAAGACAAATTATCTCACAAGTCGTCTCTTAACATACATGGCCTCTCATTACAGGTGTCCCATGAAAGGTGTTGTCTCACGATCATGACAAGCGTTTCTCATTCCACAGTATTTGACACGATATTTATATTCAGTAGTCATATATATATCTGTTGGGATCTCCAGAATACTATCAGCTGGACCATTTTGTTTTGTAAAGAACGATATGTAATGATGAAAAAACTTTCATTTCTGTCCCAATCTTACAGATCAAACAATTTGTTCTTTAATTCTTCTTGAAACTTTTCTACTTATAGAACTAAACTGACAGGATAAGGCCCAAGTTCCCACAGCAAATTCAGTATTTAACAAGTTAAAATGTGTTGAATATGTTCTGTCCACTCTTCCAGGAGAAACAGATATTTCCCAAATCCCTTAAGTGTTTTGCATTATATGTGCATGACAGTCTCGTGCCGTACTGTAAACTTGCATAACCAGATGAGTTAAGAGATAGGATTTATTCTTCCTTACCTGAGAAATAATCAGGAGATGAAGAATGCATTGTAAGTGAGCTAATAGGATTTATATGGCTAAGCCCATATCTACAGTGTTACACCATCAAGAAGAAAATTCTCGACATAAATTTGAATTTAGTATCTTTATTCAGTTCAATTTACCGGTAAAACCATTTCCTGTTTTTGTGGGCGCCAGTAAGCCATTTAAAGCATTATGGATTCATATCACATGATGTTGGAAGATTATTTTGATTCAGGCCTTCTTTACATGGATGAACAATTTAATTCTTTAGACGTCAGCCTGCTGAGATCCCTCTGTTACCTAACCATCCAAGTTTTCTCCCTTGGCGGAGCAGATTTAATGTCACAGACTGGAACTAAGGGGGCCAAATCTGGCCAGTTAACCTTGAATATTCATCTGTTTTAAATGAGCTCCCGATGCTGGGATAAAAATGATTTATGTATATTGGCAACAACTTGATGAGATTTTCCATGATCATCGACAGATATATTGTGAAATGTTCAGTCAGTTACATAACTGTGAGCATGGATTATGTTCATGTGTCTCAAGGACTTCATCAAGGCTTGAGTACTTCAAGTGAAAATCGACTTTGATTGATAATACAATTACTGTTGTCATGGAGTGTTGGGTTTGCACTCCATTGTTAAAGAGCTCCCCAGTGTTCTCCATCAATCTATGTGGATTTAGATTCATCTGGTAATGTTCAGATGGTCCAGCTGGTTAAACAGAATTGATAAAGTCTTGTTAGCTTAATTAGGTGATAAGTCAAATGTTCCAATTCAACTTCTTGAAAAATATCTGTAAAAATATGGTTATCTTTATATATAATATCGGAAGGTAATCCCAATATTCTCCATCAATCTATATGGATTTAGATTCATCTGGTAATGTTCAAATGGTCCAGCTGGTTAAACATAATAGATAAAGTCTTGTTAGCTTAATTTGGTGATAAGTCAAATGTTCCAATTCAATTTCTTGAAAAATATCTGTAAAAATATGGGTATATTTTTTATATATAATATCTGAAGGTAATCCCAATATTCTCCATCAATCTGTATGGATTTAGATTCATCTGGTTATGTTCAGATGGTCCAGCTGGTTAAACAGAATTGATCAAGTTACATGCTTTTAACTTACTGATCAATATATAGTCCTTATCACGTCAAATGTTCAAATTAAATTTTTCACAAAGTTTTTGTGAAAATATAATTATTTTTGTGTGTATATGATATGTTATCCTAAAATTATCATTTTTTGCCTGAATACCATGATCTGTAATATATTATCTTAAGATGAGATCATGTTAAATACCAGTATATATAAATGTATATT